TAAATAATATCCTCGGATTAACTGCAAAAGTCTTCAAAGAACACAAGAGCTTCGACATCACAGGACATCATTTATTGGTTTGTTTTTCCACAGAGATGGAGCAAAGATGAGTAAAAGGAAGAAGAATTATCCAAATCCTGTAGAAATTATTGATAAATATGGTGCAGATGCTCTAAGGTTTGTTAGTCGGTCTAGAATTGATTTCCTCATTTGACACTGCCTTGTATATTGTTAACATTGCCCATCTTTAAAATTTTGTCCTGTGTCGGGGATATTTATTCCCTTCTTGAGAGCAAAATGAAAGAGATACAGAGAGAGGAAAGGAAGGAAGAAGGAAAGGAAGGAAAGAGGGATAGAAGGAGTGAATGAACAAAACAAAGAATGGAATGAAGGAAGGAATAAATAGAGTATATTCCCATTTGAAAGCCTTTGCATAAAGGTATGCTCTTTGTGATTTGATTGATTATTTCTTCCAGGTTGTACCTGATCAATTCTCCTGTAGTCAGAGCAGAGACACTAAAATTCCATGAAAAAGGTGTCAAAGATGTGGTTAAAGATGTCTTCCTTCCTTGGTACAATGCTCATCGCTTTATGGACCAAAACATTAAACAGTTTGAACGGGTAAATACTACATGTTCCAAAAACTATTCTCCCTGTTTCCCCATTTTTTCCTCTCCCTCCCTCCCCCCCATTCCTCATTCCCCTTCACTCCTCCCCCTCATCCAATTCCACATACAGTTGTAGACAAGGTTTAGAATTTCCGAAGTATCTACTAAGTAATGGTGAATTTGTATAGGACCACAATGTGAAATTCACATACAAGGAGTCCAACACGCTGGCCTTGAACAACATTATGGATAAATGGATCTTGTCCTTCACCCAGAGTCTTGTTCAGTTTGTCCATGAAGAAATGGCAGGTATGATTGCATGACTTTGTGTCACTTGATCACAAGAGTGTTCTTTGTCATGCAAAGGCTGGCCTGTTCTTTGGAAGGGCCGGGTCGAGACAACTGTGAAAATTAACTGCTAAATTTCAATTTGATCATGGGGTGAAGGCCACAGTCTTGATAGACACTAGTGCTACCCGGCTTGTAAAACGAGATAGATATATTCATTTTATATTATTACCTTCAAAAACATTCAAACATTATTGAACCTTGAAATGACCTCTGGGCTGATCAAAGTCAGGGCACTGCTAACTCACAGATAGGACCTTGAAACAACCTTTGGGCTGACCTAAGTCAGGGCACTGCTAACCCACAAATCGAACCCTGAATCAAACCTAAGACGCCAGAGTTGATAGACTCTGCCCTTGATTCCCTAACCCTGTACAATAGATATTGATATTTTTTGGGTTATTATTTCAGCTTACAGACTGTACACTGTTGTTCCAAGATTAGTGAAATTCATTGATTACTTAACCAACTGGTATGTGCGATTTAACAGGAAAAGACTGAAGGTAATGAAAATGTCCTTTTAAATCCTTATGAATAAAAGATATGAATAGGTTTAATAATCCTTAATTTTAAGTTTTCATGATTTTTCTTGCTTGACAGGGCGAGCAGGGTAAAGATGATTCTCTACAAGCCATACAGACACTGTTTGGTGTTGTGCTCACCATCACTAAGCTCATGGTAGGTAAAGGCCCCCGGGGGTGTGGGGTACTCCCATATATGGACTATACAAGGATGATCCGCCGAACAGGGTATGGTTTTTCGAGCTTCTTGTCATAAACAGGGTATGCAATTTCACTCAAGTTCCAAGGTCTTCCTGAGTTTCCTGTCATATTCAGGGTTTCTACTTTGGTATGGACTGAAACTGGTTATTATGGTCATCAAAAAAACAATATGCGAGCTGACATGATAATTGAAACAGGAACTCATAAACAGGGTCTACAAATTTGTTTTTTTTTGTCATAAACAGGGTACCCCTTTCAGAATCCCAGGGGAACACCCCTACCCAAATCCTGGCGGAGTACCCCCCCCCCCTGGGGTAAAGGCAGATACAGTGTAAGGTTATAACAAATAGTCTAAAATAGGGACCCAATTTTTATTGGTTTTATAACGTGTTGGATACCTATAAATACTTGCTCCCCATCAGAGACCTGTTGAAATGCTTATTATTGGGTGTCCATAGTCACTATTTCTATACACGAATACGTTTTTCAGCACACATGCAAACAGATACATGTAGTAAATGTAAATTCATTTCTGTGATTGACTTTTAGTTGTGGAGATATTAGGAACAAAATCTCCACCCCTCCCCTCTAAATCAGGTTTCATAAGATTACCGGTACAAATGTTTTTACCTGGTCCCTTAACCTTGTACAAGATGTAGCTATGTGTAATATCATGTTTCATAACTAAAGCTCTACGTTCCTGTTACTTCAGGCTCCTTTTACTCCTTTCCTGACGGAGCACATCTACCAAAGCATGAAGCAATACATTGTCTTCGATAAGGACCAGTCATACACAGATAGTGTTCATTACTTGATGCTACCAAAGACAAGGTACGGTGACATGAAACAGTATTTGTTTTTCTAGAATAAGGAACYACTTTACTCACTGTGGGGGAGGGGTAGGAGGAGTGTGCTGGGGGGGGGGGGRGGGGCGGACATTRGGGTGCTGGGTAAGAATGCAGATCCATGGCTAGTATAGAAGTGGGGTCTAGTTTATTGACCCATTTTGTCAAGTTAGCACAAGGAATGAATGGGATTGGKTTCCTTATATCTTTCTTACACTGCTAACTCACTGATTGAACTTGGATGCATGTAGCATGGTTCAATGGAGGGAAGAAAACCGGAGAACCTAGAGAAAAACCCTTGAATCAAAGTAGATACCCAATAAAGTATACTCACTTGTGATGCCACACCTAAGAATTAAGCATGAGACCCCAGAGGTGAGAGGCAAAAGTACTTCCACCCATAATTCCCTGCAAACACACAAAGTTTAGCTCAATTTTTAATTTTTCATAGAGAGAACCTCATTGACGAGAATATTGAGAGAGCTGTTGCTAAGATGCAGTCTACCATTGAGCTTGGCCGTGTTGTCAGAGACAGGAAGACAATGCCTACTAAGGTATAGTTTTTATCCTGTAGTTCTAGTTCTTCTGCAGGCCACAGATTGAACAAAGTGACTGCAAGTGTTCTACGAGCTACACTGTATCTTTCCCTTGCATCGATTCCCAGAGTAGGTCAATGGATCTAATTAACTTGGGCGTAATGTTTTACCCATTTCAGACCACGTGTAATTCTCTCAAGAATAAGATTCTTTATTTGAGTTGTATCCATATTTATGTGTCTTCTCATGTGCAACCGATAAACAAAGAAATAATACTCTAGGGAATGACGTGTGGTCTGAAATGGGAAAACAGTGGATTAGATCTACCGGTATTTAATGGAGAAAAGATAGATCAAAAAGCTAATTCTTACAACAAAACAAAAATGATTATAAATTGGTGACTCTCTATTCCAGTATCCTTTGCCTGAGATTGTGATCATCCATCAAGACCAGCAATGTCTAGATGACGTCATGGCCCTTCAAAACTACATCATGGAGGTGAGTGCTTAAGTCATTGTCGTTTGTTATCAAGTGCTTTTCTGAAGGATGATTTCTGTCCTGTGAATAGGAACTGAATGTTCGTAAAGTCACTGTGTCGTCAGATAAGGAGAAATTTGGTGTTCACCTACGTGCTGAGCCTGATAGTCAAGTCCTGGGAAAACGACTTAAGAAGGACTTCAAACAGGTTTTCCAGGCTGTTAAAGGTAGGAATGACATTGCACTATAAAGGTCCCCAAGGGGGAGGGGGGATGGGATAAACCTTCATATCGATACAGGTCTCTGAAACAGCCTCTGCAGGCTGATCTAAGTCAGGACACGTCTAACTCACAGATTGAACACTGAAACAACCTGGGCTGATCTAAGTCAGGGCAAGGCTAACTCACAGATTGAACACTGAAACAACCTGGGCTGATCTAAGTCAGGGCAAGGCTAACTCACAGATTGAACACTGAAACAACCTNAGGGCAAGGCTAACTCACAGATTGAACACTGAAACAACCTGGGCTGATCTAAGTCAGGGCAAGGCTAACTCACAGATTGAACACTGAAACAACCTCTGGGCTGATCYAAGTCAGGACWCGACTAACTCACAGATCGAACCCTGAAATGACCCCTAGTCCTGAACAAAGTCAGGACACTAAAACACCGAACAAAGTCAAGGCACTGCTAACCCAAAGATTGAATTGGGATTTGGCTTGTTAGTTTTGTGTGGGGGGGAGTAGGAAAACTGAAGAACCCGGAGAAAAACCAATCATACTCGCATCTCATGCTGATCCCAGGAATCTAAAACGAGACCCTCGAAATGCAAAGCAAGTGCACTATGCTACGCCACCCATAAATCCCCTGGGAGGAGAGTGGGGGGGAATAACGAGACCCTTAGAAAGCTCTAAATAAAGCTTTAAGAAAACTTCCCACCTCTGTCCTCTCACACCTCCTTAGTTTCCTGTTCACTACTTTTTTTACGCCTAAATATGTTTCTGTACACTTTTCTTTTCTTTTTTTCGACAGAATTGTTAGACGCTGATCTTCAGTTATTCCAAGACATGGGTGAGTTGACCGTGTGCGGCCATGTCCTCTCAGGTGATGATCTCAAGCTGAGTTACACTTTCGATAAAAATGGTGACCGACCTTCATCCTACGAGGCTCATTCAGATGGCGAGGTAAATCCAAAATCATGTGTATAAATGATATTACCCAGCTGAGTTGACAGCATTCCCCAAAGGGTTTATGTGTCAACTAATTTTKATCAGCATTTTTCAAGCAGGGACTGAGTACTACGTAGATTTGTCTTGTCGATTGAAATGCTCATCAAAATATGATGCTGAATCCTCAATAGCCAATGTGCACGAGCACGAATCTTCGCCCCATGTAAGGGAATCCGGACTTATGGTGGATTCCGGATTCCGGATTGATGGGATATTCCATGGTGTGCCATGAAAAAAAAAATCCGTACAATAACCATTGAAATTACACCTAGCCCGCAATGCCTGATGGGAAGAAACAGTGGATTACCACTGAATATACAATAGCTATCCTGCATTATGACCTCGTGTGTCGATTGACTATACTGTATATTTTATCTTTGCTCCTAGATTTTGATTCTTCTTGATGTGACCCCGGACCAGACGATGTTGGACGAGGGACTCGCCAGGGAGGTTGTGAATCGCATTCAGAAGCTGAGAAAAAGGGTATGGATGTGCATTATTATAATGATGGTGGCGATCTTATGGGGGCAAGGGGAGAGAGAAGGAGATGTATTGGACGCAAATAGATTTTTTTGTAGAAATTTGTACTGGAGCTGAAGTTGAAGCATAAACAATTAGATTTCTAACGGCTTGAGAGGGGATTCTTGCGAAGAGTCAAAAAGAAAGAAAGGAAAGGAAAGCGTAAATGGAAGAAAAGCAGAGAGAGAAGAGAAAGTGAATGAAGAGTCAGCGAGAAAAGAAAAGTGGGAAATGAAATGAGAAGGAGATGGAATTTGGAAGCTATTACTGATATGAACTCGGAAAACAAGAGAAAAGGGAAAAATAAAGCCTTGCAAGTCAGGAACACTTGTAATAATGTAATATAATTATAGTAATATTTTTTCCCCTTCCAACAGGCTAATCTGCTTCCAACCGATGACGTCACAGTTGTCTACGAGGCCCTTGCAGCACCACAACACCGTTTGGGTGACATTATCAGTGCACATCAGGAGTACATTACTAGCAGTATTAAACAGCCCTTACTAGCTGCGCCTTTACCTCCATTGACTGAAATTATTCATGAAAGGACTGAGGTAAGATATTCAATTTTCACTACAAAAAAAAAAWTTATCTAAAGCAATATCTTCAACGTCACTCACAAACATTATCTATTCATCCCATTTGGATTTTGAACCAACTTGTGAGCTTCAAGTCAAGAGGGCCAAAACTTGCATTTTCTCTCAGAGAAGAGTAAAGAAATGGCTCAGAAAATTAGAACTTATTTTTCTATAACTAGTTCATGAGAAATTGGAGAAGATAATGGAGATTTTCCATGAGAAAAAACAAGTATTTATCTGAAGTGAGCTCTTGAAACATTTTAGTGGCTTGAACGTCACTCACAAAGATAATTTATTCATCCTGTACGAATTTTCAGTCAACTTTGAGCTTCATAATCAAAAGTGCCAAGACTTGCGTTTTCTCTCAAAAAAGAGTAAAGAAATGGCTGAAAAAATTAGAACTAATTTTCTTAAAACTAGTTGTGTAGGAAGTGGAGAAGAGCAAGAAGATTTTCTATGTGAAAAAAATGTATTTATCTGAAGTGAGGTCGTGAAACATTTTAGTGGCTTCAACGTCACTCACAGAGATAATTTATTCATCTCGTACGAATTTTGAACAAACCTGTGAGCTTTAAGTCAAAAGTGCCAAAACTTGAGTTTTCTCTCAGAAAAGAGTAAAGAAATGGCTCGTAAATTAGGACTCATTATATTAAAACTAGTTGTGTAGGAAGTGGAGAAGAGCAAGAAGATTTTCCATGTGAAAAAAATATATTTATCTGAAGTGAGCTCTTGGAACATTTCAGTGGCTTCAAAGGCTCAGTGCCTTCAACGTCACTCACAGAGATAATTTATTCATCCTGTGTCGAATTTTCAACCAACTTGTGAGCTTCAAGTCAAAAGGGTCAAAACTTGCGTTTTCTCTCAGAAAAGAGTAAAGAAATGGCTGAAAAATTTGAACAGATTTTTCTAAAACTAGTTCATGAGGAATTGGAGAAGRGAATGGAGATTTTCCATGAGAAAAAACTGATGTATTTATCTGAAGTGAGCTCTTGAAACATTTCAGTGGCTTGAACGTCACTCACAGAGATAMTGTATTCATCCCGTATGAATTTTCAACCGGCTTGTGAGCTTCTCAAAAGATTCTAGGACTGGTATAGTAAAATTATAATTTTCTAAARCTAGTTCTGGAGAATTGGGGTAGAAGATTAACATTTTCAACGTCACTGTGAGATCATCTAGAAATATAGAGCATTAGTTATCATTAGTAGTATAAAGACAGGCAGGACTAAATGTTCTTTTGCCATCCAATTAACAGGTTAAAGGAGAGCCGTTAAAGCTGTGGATCTTACGTGGACATAAGAAAGCAGACAGCTCCACTAACCCCTCCCCTGTCTGTCGCTTTGTCAACGTGGAACTGTGTGGGGTGGAGCCTGGYAATGGGATCAAAAGTCGAAGCGCAACAGTGCTGTTAGAAAACCCTCAAGGAGATTTTGAAATGAGTATTGAACGACTTCAGAACCAGGTGAGAAATGCACACAATCATGATAGTGGTGACGACGATGGTTTCACAGTTGCAATGATGATGATAATGATGATGATACATGATGGTGATGATACATGATGGTGATGCATGATAATGATACATGATGATACATGATGATGATGATGTTGATGATGATAATGATGGTGATGATAGTGATGATGATG